CAGCCTTCAGATTAATCTGGTGTCTCAACAATTTACAGCACTACCCAAAGGATGCTAAGGCAGCATAATTCACAGAAAATGGAGGAAATAATAAAGATGGTATTTCTACATCAATTTAATGGCATAACAACCATTACCATTTCTAATCCTAGGGTAAATGTTTTCAAAATGTGACTGAAAAGGGAGAGTTTTCAGAGAAGACTTAAAAAATTGTTTTAAGTCTCAAAAACTATAGATGGATGAGGGTATACTAAAATAGATCAGTTTATTTAGCATCTTGCAGACAAGATGAAAAGATGTTTTAATCAGCATCTCTAAGAAAGTGTGAAGGGGAGTGATGCCTGACATTAAACATTTCTTTCATCTATCAAGCATAGACTCAAAGATCCCAAAGTTAAATGTTGAATTCAAACTGTAAATTAGGTGCAAATTCTTTACAAGAATGGTACATAGCCAAAGGATATGGTACATTTTCTATCATTTGAAGTCTTTAAAGCTAGAAAAAATGTCTTTCTACAAAATTTGTTTTACTGCTATCATTATTTTTGGGTTAGCTGCAGAAAATAATTTGGTGATTTTTTTTTGTGGCTTCTCTTAAGCAAGACCTCAAACAGTGATAATTTTCTGTTGAGGCTTCAAAATGTAGGAAATATGATAGTTGTGATTCCACAACAACAATAATGATGGGAGATGAAATTATAGCCTCACTGAAGTCCATGAGAAAGTTCCCACATGCTTTAATGACAATAAAATTTAATTTACAGTTATAAAACCTTTGATATATTAATTGCATTTAAGATGGGGGTTATATGAAGACTGCTTTGCTCCACCTCTTTTATTTTATTGCTATTATGTTTACCATTTTATTTTGTAATTCAGATTAGTTTTGAATTAACTTTGTATGATTTACATTTTTAAACTATCTAGGAGTTTGCAATTGTTATCTCTTTTCAAGTAGTGCAGAGCTCTTAATGGAAATGGTCTTGCAAAAATTCTGGTTTTTCTTGATTTCGTTTGGGTGAGGGTCAAATATCCCATTGAGCATTTTTCATAAAGATGGGTGTATACTCTTGCTTGCCTCTGGAGAAGCTGGATAATGACTCATACAAATACATTTTCTGTATTCTCAGCCTCAGCTGAGTTCAGGTCAAGATTTATCCATAAAGCCTCATAATTTAGCTGATTTTGAGCAGACTCAATAATTAACATTGAGATTATATGGCATTGTTGTGTGCAGCCCCTTCACCACAGTTTGACATACTGTCCGGGGCTGAAAGAGAGAACTGTCTCCACGCTTTTGTGTGGCCTTCTGAGAAGAGGAGCAGTGGCTGCTGGTAATTGTTCTGAAAGTATAGTGAGAGTTTGGGACAGATTTTCTTCAGTCCTGAAGAAGTTGCTCTGGTTTAATCCTTTTCAGGAACAAAGAAGGTGTAATAAACTGTGACTCATAACCCATTACCAGAAATGGCTTTAAAGCAGGGATGGAGATGTGGACACCTGTTGAGAATGAACATGTGAGGAAGCTGACAGGCCCAGTCTGAGTCCTGCTGACTATCAGATTTATTCCACTAACAATCAAAGCATATAGTACTTTTTTTCTCTTTCTTTTTCCCCCCCCCTCCCTTATATTTTTTCTTTGTAGCAGGCTGATCTACCTTTGTGCAATGGAACATAAAAGTCTCTGATCCAGATTCCATCCTGATTTTACTCTAGGGACATGCAAAGAGGCAGAAGGCATGAATCTTGCACTCAGGATGCAACTACTACAGTTCTTTAAGGTACAATTTAAAGCCTGCTGGAAGCAACGGAAGGCCTTTCATTTACTTCAATGGACTTTGGATCAGAACCTCTGCTAGGGAGCTTTTGTCCTTGGCTTTCTTCAAAGAAGATTTTACTGATATGTGAATAGTGTTAATCACCCATGAACACTTGGTAAAGAGTGATCTGGTTTTTATGATATGTAAAATACCCTGCTGAAGCATGAAATCTAATGAAATCAAACAAAGTAAAACTTGCCCTCCATAACCTAAAGCTCAGCTCTTGAAATGTCATCTATTGGAATAATGCATTCCCCATCTGTAAGTCTGGGCTTTTTCTTGCCATAGGTGAACTAAAGGAGCCTTGGAGGTGTGCCATGGTTACTAGTATCTGATATTTTACTAGAGGGGAGGGAGAGGAATTATTACTATCAAATGTTAATTTTGTCCCCCTCATGGAAATGAGAAAATAAGCATATCTTTGTCCCTGAATTTATATAATTTGCTTTTTCTGGCATGTAAATTGACTGTATATCCTTAATGTTATCCTTGAGAAACCACTGGCAACACAATTGAGAGCCTGTTATTTAATGTAGAACTATTGATTTGTCTCCAGTCAGTGAATGTATAAAACTGAAATATAAAAACTACTTGACAGAGCCTTTGCTACTACCTTCAGTCTTGACTGCCATGGTATGTTAGGAATATAATTATAACAAAAGCAATTCACAATAAATATTTGTTCTTGAATTTATTTTGTTACCTTGTGGACATAATAGTATTGTGGATATGTTGATTTCAAACCCCACCTCAAACTCTGATTTTATGTAAGTAATCAGTGGCCTTCCGTCTGCCAGTATAAGGTGAAGTCTTATAGAGTTCACTAAAGAGTCTTTTTTCGTATTTATATGTAAGAATCATGATAAAACTCTGATTCACACAGCTCATATGGTACCAATTTATTGTCTGGCTTCAGATTTTTTAAATCACTCTGGCACTACAGGGTTATTACAGTAAGTTAGAAAGACAGGTACTCTAAGTATGAACTTGCTGCTAAGATCTCAAAAATACTGAGTGCTCTTGAATTGAAGCTTTGATGAGAAATAAATCCTTCCTGTGACACTTTTATGCCCTGTAGAGATGTGGAAGTGTGAGCAACAGCACCTGGCGAGCAAGCTGTCTTTAAAAGCAAGCAAACCAGCTGCTCATCAGGTTGGTGAAGGATTTAGCAGGAAATAAAAGTCTACTCAAATGTTCATAGCTCAGATCTGCAAGAGAAAACTCATACTTTATGATTTGTCCTCTGAATACTGAGAAAAACTGTATTTATATCTTCTGTATTTTCAAACACTGGGAGGAGTTCATTTTTGAACAGGAGTAATTTCCAAGTGAACAATCTGATCGGCAGATTCATTTCTATCCATATAATTTCTCTCATTTACAGAAGGTAAGCAGATAAGTAAGAAAATAAACTTACAGAGGTCAAACAAAATTTGATACAGTAGGAATAGGATTTCTGGATTTGCTTTGTATGGGACCCTTCTTTCCCTATTCTTGCATGTACATCAGACAGATTTGCTCGTGTAATAAGTCTCAAATGAATTTGCTTTCTGGCTACATTAATCAGTTTTAGGCACATTGAATAGATTAAAAATTTTTTTACCCTAGCAGAGCAGCACTAACCAAAATGTTTCTGACTCTTCAAAGTTCTAGACAGGCAGTGGTCTCAAAACACTGGGAAAGAATTGTTGGGAATCAAGTTCAGGTGAATTGACGCAAGGCTGGAACATTTAACTGTGTACATAATTTCCAACTGGGCAAGGTATCTCATCTGATCCCTTTGGAATGTAATTTATTTAGTTTTACAGCTTCCTAAATCAGCCAGCTAGGACTCCATACTGCCATACTTCCCCATATGCCATACTTCCCCAAAATAAAAGCATTTAACACCAGAGGGACACCAAACTATAGGTCTTCCTTTATTTCCATCTAGCTGTAGGAGAAATAGATGCAACAGCATGCAAGACAGACACACACATCAATATATATCCCTCTGAACCTCCAAAAGCCTGAAAAGAGTTTGGATGTACCACCTATATATTTTTTTAAGTTGTTTGGAATTTTTTAGGTTGTTTGCTATTGTGAATAATTTTGTGACGATTCTACTTCAATGCATTCAGTGTTATTCTGAGTACTGTGCACCTCAGTCAAATGACATTGTAATGCACTGAAAAATTTCCTTTTGATACTTTGAAACAATAATTGTCAAGGATTTATTTTAATATTCAGTTACATAATACTGTGATGACTACCATCCTTCACCTTTTGGCTTGGTTCCCAAGGAAACGTCTTCTTTTTATATTTCATTTGTTGCTGGTTTTGGTCTGCTTCTTCTGAACTAACAAATCCAGATTAATGTCTCCCATCCACCTGATTCTCCTGCCAACAAAACTGTTCTTATACCCTGCTCACAATCTCCATGTTTGCAGGTGTGACAACCAGGAAATGAAAATAGAGTTCTGTGATGACCTCAGAGAGAAGGCTGCCTGGAAACTGACTGACTGCTTCTTGCAGCGTTTCCCCTCTATTTATAGTGTTATAAATAGCATTAGACTATCTCAAAGTTTTGTAAACTGAGATGTATGGAGAGATGAAGTTCCTACCTGCGCCATACCAAAACCTAAATAAGCCAGAGTTATGTGCCTTCAACAATGCTCTCTGTCCCAGGCTTATGTCACACAAACACTTGAGCATCTGCTCATTTTTGCAAAACAGCTCTTGCAATTTCACTGGACTGCAGGGTAAATTTAAATTTAAACACATCTCCATGTGCAGACTCAGGACTTAGAGAATGATATTATTTGCATCAGGCTTCACTACCATTTAAGATGCTGTAGGGTATCCCTCCTGCCTCCAGCTGCTGCTCCAGAATGGCACAGGTTTATCCTAAGTCCCACATTATCTATCAGCCCAGATGTCTGTGATGCCCTCGAGCATCTACAGTGAAACCTGTATTAGCCCAGCTGTCATCACACTAAAATGAGGATTTCAGAACAACATGAGTTGATACCACAGAGGGAGTGAATAGCTTTTATTAACTCCTAGGAGTGTGATCTGCAGGCAGAACCCATCTACTGTACTTTTTATTTTCTAAATAGCACCAATCTTTTCAGAGGACTGGAGACCCATCAAAAAAAATCCAACAAAAACCGCTGCAAGATACGATGGAACCAAGCACCTTACCTGCAGTACAATGTCCCGCCCGTTCCGTGTGACATTAACAGTGTGGGGCTGGCCATTGGCCATGTTTCTGTGGTCAATGTCAATGTTATATGGCTCTTTGGTGCCCCCGAGGTTGTACCGAATTTGCAGATTACCTAGTGAAAAAGAAAAAAAATATGAAAAGCACCCTCAGGTATTTTGATCTTTATTCACCAGCTATTTTCCTGTCTTTATTTTCACATACAGCTGTTATCATTTCATACTTAATTGCTCTCATAGCTGGTCTCTGCTGTAAGAGAAGAGTTCATGTTTGAGATTATAAAGTTACCGGGCCGAAACTGCCTCTAGTTTATAACCCAGAAGTGTGACAATGACGAGCATTCCTAAACCACAGTGTTTGTAAACACTTCAGACTGCAAACCAAACAAATTGGAGTTATGCCTTGAACAATATGGACAATTGGTACAAAAATTGAGCCCATCAAGTAACATTTTATTGTTGAGATTATTATTCTTGCTGCAGTAAAATTCTACAAAATTATACAAAGCATAACATTTTCTAAAGAGTAAACCATTGACATGCATTGAATAAAGGCAAAATTACAACAAATTAGCACTGACACATAATTCACACATGGGACATTCTTGCTCTCACGTTTAATTGTTGTCGATGAGTGACCGTCTGGACTTCCATGGAAATTTAGTATTATATTGTGAAATAAAAACCTGAGGTTATGTTGTTGGAAAAGTGTAGTCAGGAGTGGCTTATTGATATTCCTAACATACTGCCAGACAGATTTTTCTTTTCTAAATAATAGTGAAGTGTCTGCTCTTCATAACACATTTAAATATTTGATTAAAAGGAGGAATGTTTGAAAAGGGAAATGCAGCCCCCACTCTTGATGAAAAATGGAAATATTCTGGCCCAAAAGAGCAGACTTAGACCTCTATAACTACAGTTTAGTTGTGTGATGTTGGATTTCTTTCATGCACATCCTTTCTTTCCCATGAAGGGAAAAAAATGAGTGGCGTGTAGAATACTCATATTATCCCATAAAAGAGAACAGTAGTAAAATCATTCTAATTATGATTTTCATGGGGCACTAAGGCACTATTTGGAATTGAATTATATTTAGTTCATATAGAATTTTAATACTGTAGCAGCAAATGGTCCATATCCAACTTTCATCCATCACCAAAATGTTTAGGACATTATATACTGTATTGCATCCACATTTTAGTCACCTCAGTGAGTATCCAGATTTTCAGAACAGTACATGACACTTCCTGCTGACTACTAGGGATATTGAAAGTTCAGCTATTCAGGTGCCTTGATGTAGATGTCTACTTGTCCCCACCTTAATACTGGCTCATGGCATGGGTCTCGTTATGGCAGGTTTTTGGTTTCTTTTCTTTGGTTAGTTTTGTTTTGTGAGAGAGGATTGGCTGAAGAAACACCACTAAACTGAACAGTTACATAAGTACCAGATCTAGTAGAGGCAGAAGGAAGGTTAAGGTTTCTAAGTGCTTTACTTTAATGTGACAAGGGTGAAGAGATTTTCTGATTAGTTCAGAGCTTCCCTTGACTATCAGCCTGGTATTGTCAATTGTACCTGCGATGGGGAGAGCCCGGAGCAATTTCTTACCAGTGGGGTTCACAAGCACAGCCATGAAGTCCGGAGTGTAGGAGCTGACGTAAAATAAGACACAAGGGGACTTGGTGGTGCTGAAGCTGAAGCTGAGCTCTTCCTTGTTCAAGCTGAGGTCGGGTGCTGTGATCTCAGGATCTGCAGAACTCAAAAGCGTCCGGCTAACTAAATCCTTCACGCTAGTCCCTGGGGAGTGGAAGTTGTAACGAAGCCACATTCCCTCTTCAAAAAATGCTCCCACATCTTGAACACGACAGGAAAAGGAGGATGAAAAGAAAAAAAAAGTAAATTAAATGTGCTGACACCTTTTGGTTGAAACATATTACTGTGACTTAATCAGTACTAATCTGTGCATGTTTCTACTGCTGTGCTATTTAAGCACAATATTTAGGTCAAGAGCCTCACTATTTTCCTATGAGAATGAAAAGAACAATCTCCATTTTATTGGATTCACAAAGCAAAGGAAATATTTCCTTTGGGGCACACAGAAAGCCTGTGCCTATATCTCATATCAATACTACCGACAAGGATAATTATGATTTGAATTCATTCTTGTTGAAATTTTGAGGTAGATAATGCTTCAAAGAAGGAGATACCAGGAAGAGTGTCTTAAAGGACACAGGAAACAAACATCCAAGGAAAAGGAAAAACAGCAGTTCTGACCACCAAAATTGAGTGGATTTGGAAGGACCCCACAAAGGAACAATGACAATTCCAGTCCCTAAAAGGACTGGACACAATGCTTGTAAGTTATCCATTACTAGCACAATCCTTCACGAGACCTCCACAGCAAGGATGCCCTTATGGGAGATGAAATTAACTAGGGAGTTTGACTCAACTGGGAACAAGAGGCAAGAGATACCTGAACTTTAGTTCCCAGGAGGTGCTATAGTTTTCAAACCAATCTGAGACAAGATGTGGTGTTCCAACACTCTGGACATAAAATTTAGCCCTTTTTGACCGAATATTTTAATATTTTTAGCTGAAAAAGCACCAGTAGTGCTTCTCATAATAATGCAGTCCTACCTCTTCCTCAATATTAAAATCATAATTCCAGGCTGATGTTCTTGCAGCAATGCTGACTTTGATAACATCCTACAGGAATTACTGCACAATTGGCCACCATTGGTATCATCTACTCCACTGAGGATTGCTACGGCACTCATTTATTTAGAGACATTGTGGCATTGGATCAGCTGTGCTGCCTGGGACAAGATTGTGAAAGGAAGTTTTTAAATGATACGTGAACCTGATTAAGAAGGTGTGTCTATGAACATTTCGTAAGATATTAAATAATGATTAAAAATATTTAAATCATAACATATGAGTACTGTTTTCAAAGAAAGGCTGTAAGAAATGCTTAAGACATTAAACAGTCTAAAAAAAGGTCTTTCATTGTCTACTACCTTTCTACATATTGCAAAGTTGCCACAGTTTTGTGCAAAATTGCCCATCTAAACAAGAAATTTATTTTTATTCTATTTTAGCATTTTGAGTCTTCACACAATTCTCAAAACACGTGTTGGAAGATACCAATTTTCAAAGCTTTACACAGACACAAAGCAAGCTGGGAGTAGGCCTCCAGAATTCATTCAGAGTAGCTGAGCAGAAAATAGGTAAGAGGATATATAAAATTATAAAATTATATTGATGATTCTTTCCAGAATTTTGCTAAATCTAATGCTGGAAAAGCTTTATGTTTTCTTGCTGTCATATAAAAATTCTCCCAAACTCAAAATATAACAGCTGCTGTTGCTAAATGGTCATATAAAACACAGAGCCAAGCTGTGGTCCTGAAGTGCTATAAATAATTTGATCATTCTGATGGATTTATAACTGCAATTTTATAGGGGAAAAGTTAAATCGCCCCGAAAATTTATGGGCGAGGCAATTTCATTTAACAACTATATTTTGCAGTAGTCTCAACTTTAGTGCTCCTGGATTAAAAGTGAAGGGCTCTGTCATGAAAAAACTTCCCAAACTCATGATGCCCTCTGCCTCTAACAGTGTTGCAAGAAACAAGCGTTAGCACATAAAAATTTATCTGCTGCTAAAAGCAGTAGCTCCAAGTATTTGCAAGATGGGCCTAAAAGTATCCCTGTGACCACTAATTTATTCTTCAGCCCCTGCTTCTGGTTTGCACAAGCTGCTTCTGGGGCAGGTGCCCTATCAATTACACTGGCAGAGCTGCTGGCCGTGCTGGGTCCTGCCGCTGCCACTGCTGGTGGGGACCGCAGCCCCCGTGGAGGCTCCATGCACGCACTCTGCACACTGATGCACAATTATGTTTGCCTCCAGCCTGTTTACTGCTTGTCATGCCTTTCATTTTAGAAGTAATCTTTGGAATTGCCTAGTGCTATGCTTGCCCAGGGCCTCACGCTCTGGGGATACTGGGACTTTCAGTCCTGACCTCAACACTGCTCTGGGGCTGAACTGGAAAGCGTGTGAAGCATTTTTTCTAGAGCTGTAAATGTTATAAATTGCTATGTTAAATGTTCATTACTACAAAGAAAGCTTTAAGTAAATGGTGCTCTCTGAAATGGTATTCAGATTATTCTGCAGTTTTGTGAGGTGAATTTGATCATCCTTGTGGGTCCTTTCCAACTCTCAATACTCTGTTCTGTGACTTTTTATTCCAAAAGGTTTTCACGATGGAGCAAAGAATATTCTGTATGTTTAACTTGATTTGTGCTGAGAAAATAATTTTCAATGTAGCTCTATTATTGCAGGCATACAGGGTATTGTAATAAACCTTGAAATTCTCCTCACATGCACATCACCTCTTTTAAAAGGCAGGATAAGAGGAAGGTTCTCTTTGGCTTTGTGAGTATATTGGGCCTTCAATAGGAATATATTGAATTCTCTCAAGTTCCAGCTCATCAAAGAGGTTGATGCACATGATTATGCACTTTACTGAAAGAAGCTGAAATCCTTGCAGCAGGACTGCAAAGTGCTCAGCGACTCACAGGAGCAGGTTGCTTAAACTATTAGGATGTACCAAAAATAGCTAGAACATAATTGTCCCCATCTTGAATGCAGGTATATGATGACTTGGAAATGCCAAGGGCTGACCAATGAAAAAGCTACCTACTTTTTAGGTCACAAGTGGTGACCCTGAGGTTTACACTTGAGGTCACAAGTGTAGCATCTTCCTGAAGTTGTCTCAGAAACAGCACGGAAGTCCTTCATCCAGAAAACCATTCATGCTCCCTGAATAAAGAGGGTCAAATGCAGCCCAAACCCTGCTGCTCAAATGTGAGGGAAGTTTCCATGCACAACTCTTTTCTTCTGTAAAATTTGAAATGCTATCTGAACGGATGACTCTTGGGACATCAGGCATAAGACGTAGTAAAGGTTGCTCTGCAAACTGCCCTTTCAAAGCAGGGGCCTTAGGGAAATGAATGTGGTGGTAACAGATCTGTTTTCTTCAGAAAATAATACCTATTTTTATACCAACATATAGTGCCGTCACTTTCTGTTGACAGACTTCTCAAATATAAACACTTAGGGCTGGCTTTGTAGAGGAACCCAGGACAGGAATTGTAGATTGTTAGAAACAATTTTATCAAGCAAGGTGTGTGTCCTCACTGTGAATTACACATGTTACAAAATTGTCCAGCTTCAATTTGGAAAGGTGATCCAAAACTTTCTCAGAAAATGTACATGTACCCAGAACTGACAATGTTATTTTGAAGGTCATGATTCTTTGGTCATCACCACAGTCTCCCTCTTTGCACTCAGCTACTTTTATTTTTGTGTCCTCTTATTCTGTCTGGGATCAGGAGTATTGAAAGAGGAAAAAGCCAAATAGCAACAAAAATCCCCATTTTTCCTATAAAACTTGCAAAGTCTCACTATTTTTCTGGGCCGGTGATGTAGACCTAAGAAAATGTAAGTAGGAATCTTATTCTCCTCTAGTGCTTTGTACATCAGTGAAATGTCAGTGTTGCTTCTTCTGTTCTTAGGCAGTGATAATGATCCTGTGAGCCATACAGACACATAGAGAACTTGTCTTTTTTCTCCATAACCTTTTTCTCACCTCTGAAAAACCCTGCCAGCATGGCATAGGTGTGCCTGAACACAACTTCAGCATGATTTTCTATCTGGGTGCATATATATAAGGGACACAGAGCTGAGCAGTCTTTACGGCAATTGAGTTTGCTCTATGAGAGTTGATGGAAATGTTAATAGGAATTGTCAAGAATCAAGTACTAGATACTATGCCTAGTAAATAAAGAAGCTGCAGATCGGTGGTGCTGACAAAAAATCCCCAAACCAAAAACCCAACCATCCCAATTTAAACACAGGACCTTTTCAAAAGTGGCATTTTAAGAAGTGGAATCTCCCTTCTTTAGTGGGACAGCTCTCACTGACTCAAGCTGCCATCTCACAGTTTTCCAAGTGAACTGGATCTGATTTCTGCCACTTTTTACCTGGAGACCAAGGAGGAAGTAGTGCTGGTTATTTATTTAATGGGTGTAACAGGGTATTCCTGCCTTACAGCAGCGGGAGACAAAATCCTGGCAATTATGAATCCCAGCAAGGACATGAGAAATGGAGAAGGAAAAAACTCTCTCCTCTTTGTTTCATAAAGCTGACTTCTTACAGCTGTCATCATGTCCCATCTGGGGTCCCTAAACACCTCCTTGGCCCTGCGCAGATATTACTCTGTGATGTTGGTTGCCAATGCTCAATGCTATGTCTTCCCTTCATGGAGTTCTGGGTGTGAAAAGCAGTTTTTCAAAATCCTAAGCAAGGACAATCACTGGAGATGTTCTAACACTTAGTGCATTTACAAAGATTCTTCAGACAGGATAGATGGTTGAATAAACCCTCTTTGTTTTTGCATGATTTCCTTTCTTTTTTTGATTTTACGTGTAGTTATGAATATTGAATATAGATTAACCAGAGCTTGCTTGTTCATCTCATGGCAAAAACTTGCTTGGGAGCACCTAAAATTGCTGCTACTACCAGACTGTGGTCACAAAGACTAAGACTTGTTTGCTGAGATATCTTCTGGCCATAGGATATCAGTAAAGGGTCAGAATGTCACAGTTGTTGATCTGGGAGAGAATTTGAGGGCCCTGAAGGTGATAATGCTTACCATTCATCTGGTTAGCTTACTCAACATTTTATTCTATCTTCAGGCGTATTTAGTGTGCAATATCAGGAAGTGGGAATTTAAAGCTATTGCTTCACATCCCTCATTTTCTGGCTGTTCTTACTCTAATAATCTGTCATGC